TTCTTTTTGCTCCTTGTATTTTTGCCCTGGACTGCTTTGTTAAATGTGTTTTTATCACTTAGGAAATTATTCCCAATGTGGTTTTTTAAATTGCACTTTTGATCTGTATATGTAACTCCCTTCATTTTACCTTTGCTTATATTTTTTTTCAAATCGTATGTGTCCGGTTTGGAAAGTGAGGTACCTAGGGCCTTGTAACCAAATGATGCAGCATCTGACTTCACTGTGTCCTCAGGCACACACTCCTGAGGGGACTCAGGCCATCAGCTCTTTCATAAGACGGTGACTGCCACCTCGGGCTCTTCTGTTCATCTTTACTGGAGTATAGCATTTACCCTCACTGCCTCCCAAACACAAGTGAAGTATACAGTTGTATTCTCCTTCTTCCACCATAGTTTTAGTTTTTCATTGATAACCTATTTATCTTTTCAAACTTGGCATATAATTGGCAATTATATGTGTTTCTGTCCTATAGTGTGATTTTTTAAAAAAAATTTTTTTAAAGATTTATTTATTTATTGGAAAGTCAGATATACAGAGAGGAGGAGAGAAAGAGAGGAAGATCTTCAGTCCGATGATTCACTCCCCAAGTGAGCACAACGGCTGATGCTATGTGGATCCGAAGCCAGGATCCAGGAACTTCTTCTGGGTCTCCCATGCAGGTGCAGGGTCCCAAAGCTCTGGGCTGTCCTCCACTGCTTTCCCAGGCCACAAGCAGGGAGCTGGAAGGGAAGCGGGGCTGCCGGGATTAGAACCGGCGCCCATATGGGATCCTGGTGTGTTCAAGGTGAGGACTTTAGCCGCTAGGCCACGCCCCCTGGCCCCAGTGTGATATTTTAATGTGTACTCACAACAGCAATTGATCAAATCACTGATTAATCAGACCAGAAAGACCCTGTTGAAATATAAAATCGTTTTACTGCAAATGTGTTTCTTTTTTGTATCTAACAGAAGCTTTGTACTTTTTAACACCTCTTTCCCACTACCCCCTTTCCCAAACTTGGGTAACATCATTCTCTCTAATTATATGGATTCAACTTTATTAGAATTCCACATATCGAGGGCCCAGCGCAACAGCGTAATGGTTAAAGTCCTCACCTTGAATGCACCAGGATCCCGTATGGGCATTGGTTCTAATCCCAGCAGCTCCACTTCCCATCCAGCTCCCTGATTGTGGCCTGGGAAAGCAGTCAAGGACGGCCCAAAGCCTTGGGACTCTGCACCCATGTGGGAGACCTGGAAAAGAAGTTCCTGCCTTCTGGCTTTGGATTGGTGCAGCACTGGCCATTGCTGCTGCTTGGGGAGTGAATTGAAGATCGTCCTCTCTGTCTCTCCTCCTCTCTGTACATCTGCCTTTCCAATAAAATAAATAATAAAATCTTAAAAAAAAGTTCCACATATCAGAGTCATGCAGTATTTCTTTTTCCGTGCCTAGCTTATTTTACTTAATACTATGTCCTGCAGATTCATCCATGTTGTTGCAAGTGGTTTTTCCCTTTTTTAAACTTAATATTTCACTATATACATTCACTGAATATCTCCATCTCTAGACAGATAACATATCTCTATATTTGTATAGATATATAAATTGATAACATTATCCTGATTCATTTATTTGAGGACAAACATCTTGATTGCTTCTTTATCATTGGCAGATGAGACCAGAGCTACAAATGAACATGGGCGTTCAAATGTCTTAACAGATTTCAACTTCTTTGAATATATATCCAGAAATTGGAGTTAGTAGATCTTTTTTTTTAAGATTTATTTTTTTTATTGCAAATTTAGATATACAGAGAGGAGGAGAGACAGAGAGGACGATCTTCTGTCCATTGATTCACTCCCCAAGTGACCGCAATGGTTGGTGCTGCGCCAATCCAAAGCCAGGAGCCAGGAACTTCCTCCAGGTCTCCCATGTGGGGGCAGGGTCCCAAGGCTTTGGGCCGTCCTCAACTGCTTTCCCAGGCCACAAGCAGGGAGCTGGATGGGAAGTGGAGCTGCCGGGATTAGAACTGGCGCTCATATGGGATCCTGGCGCGTTCAAGGTGAGGACTTTAGCCGCTAGGCCACGGCGCTGGGCCTGGAGTTAGTAAATCTTCTGATACTTTATTTTTGCTTTTGGGTAGAATGTTCTCCATCATGGCTGTACTGATTTATATTGCTACCAACAGTGTACAGGTTCACTCTTTATCACCTCTTTGCCAGCATTATCTTTCATCTTTTTTATTGAAACTATTCTAACAGGTAGAAAGTGGGTCTCATTATTTTAATTTGCATTTCCCTTGATGCCTGGGTGTTTTCTCAAAATACTCTTGTTCACCATTTGTTTATCTTCTTTTGAGGATGCTATCTTTAGATCCTTTTACCCATGTTGAATTGATTATTTGTTGTGATACATGAGTTCCTTTAATAATTTATATATTAGTCCGTTATATTTGCAGATACTTTTCTGTGTTGTCTCTTGTTTCTATATTTAATTTTTTTTTTTTTCATTTCAACGAGTGATCTTCTGTCTGCTGGTCCGCTCCCCAAATGGCTGCAAAGGTTGAAGTTGCATGAGGCTAAAGCCAAGAGCCAGGAACTTCATTGAGCCTCCCGTATACGAGGCAGGGCCAAGCCAGCACTTGGCATCCTTTGCTGCCCTCCTGGTTGCATTGACAGGAAGCTGGAGCAGAAGTGGAACAGCTGAGACTTGACTCATGCCCATATAAAATGCCAGTATTGCAGGTGTACCACAACACTGGCCCCTGCTATATGCTTGGGATGAATTGGCTCCATTAATGTAATATACCTTCTCTACTTCCTTTGATAGTTTTGACAGAAAATCTATTTTATCTTAATATCACCAAACTGGCTCCTTCCTACTTACCTGGAATCATTTTCTGTCCTTTTTGTGTATTGTGAAGATTAATGTCAGTCTACTGTAGACAAATTGTCACATCTTGTTTTTTATACATTCAACTGCTCTGTGTTGAGGAGAATTTACTCCATTAGCATTTGAAATAACGGTTGGTAGATATAAGGACTTTTGTGATTTTTGTTGTTGTTGTTCTTCCAATCTTGGTGACTTTCTGTGAGAATTCTATTTTTGTAGTTGTAAATCTACTTTTTTTGTGTGTTGTGTTTTTATTTTGTTTTGGAGATTTGCCAAAAGCCTAACAGGTCAGTGTACCAATATTTCTTCTACTTAGAGAATTCGTATCAGCAATCACAGGAAAGGATGAAGAAACCTAGACAGTCAGGGTGAGAGGCTGTGGGAGGACAGTCGCAGAAGTGCCGTGAGCTCCTTGATGCCGTGGTTATAATAACTCCATGGACACTGGAGATTTTGATTGCTTTTCTTTTTTTAAAGATTTATTTTTATTATTATTTTTTCATTGGAAAGGCGGATATACAGAGAGGAAGATCTTCTGTCCAGTGATTCACTCCCCAAGTGAGCGCAACGGCCGATACTATGCCGATCCAAAGCCAGGAGCCTCTTCCGGGTCTCCCATGCGGGTGCAGGGTCCCAAAGCTTTGGGCCGTCCTCGACTGCCTTCCCAGGCCACAGGCAGGGAGCTGGAAGGGAAGCGGGGCTGCCGGGATTAGAACCGGCGCCCACATGGGATCCCGGGCGTGCAAGGCGAGGACCTTTAACCACTTGCACCACTGCGCCGGGCCCTTGATTGCTTTTCTTAAGGTCAATAGTTGGTATATAACTTGCCAGTGAGGGATGTTGTAACTCTTATTTTTCGCATTGTATATTCCAATTCTTTCTTTTCTTTTCCTGATTTATATGTTAAGAACTTTAGATACAGATTTACTCAGTAACTACCATTGAATATAACTTAAATCGTGTGTTCATTATTTTATATAGAAAATTTTTGTTTACTTGTTGAATTCTAAAGAAGTTCAGTGTGTGTGTGTGTGTGTGTGAGAGAGAGAGAGAGAGAGAGAGAGAGAGAGAGAGAGAAAGAGGTGTTTCAGTGTTTAGGTTATTAGAGTTGTTAATAAAACTTTTTGCCTTGGTAAGTGTTGTGGTGTAGCAGGTAGACTAAGCTGCTGGTTGGGATGCCCACAACATATATTGGAGTCCTAGTTGGAACCTGGTGCTGGTTCTACTTCTGATCCAGTCCCCTGCTGAAGCACGCCTGGAAAGCAGTGCTTGGTGGCTTAAGTACTTAGTTTTTGCTGCCCACTGTGAGTCAATCCGATGGAGTGCCGTCACCTGACTTCTACCTTCAGTAGCCTTACAGCCTTCAGGACTGAACCAGCAAATGGAAAATTACTATTTGTATCACTTTCATCTAAATGCATCTCAACAAACAAACTAATTAACTTGTAGCCTCATTTATCAGAACAAAGTGTATCAAACAAAATCATCTTTTATGTTTGGGCATGGATATATTAAGCTTGTAGGTCCGTTCTGTTTTTTTTGGGGGGGGTTTGTTTTCAACATTAGGTTAATACTTTTCTTGGCATTAACATTCTAAGTTTATTTAGTGTATTTAATAATTATTGCTGCTTATGAAAAATTTTAAGTCATTCAGCTAGCTATTTGTTCAACTAGAATTATTGTACTACAAAGACGATGTAGCTTAATGATTGAGAGTGTGGTTTTTAATCTGAAATTCCTGGGGCAGATTCCAGGCTGTGTCATGTTCCATGGCGGCACAGTCCAATATGGTGACCACAAGTGAAATGTGGCTGTGGAACACTTCTAGTGTGGCATGGTTGATTGTCTGAATTTTAAGTTGCTGCCATAATGCGCCTCATAGAACAGCTGATTTACTTCTCTGGGCCCAGTTTCATCATCTGTACATGAAATTACATTTAAGCCACTTTTTGCGGTTTTATTTGTGCATTATAAATTGATATACATAAAGGTTTAACACAATACCTGGAGGAGATGTGCTTGAGAAGGAGTAGTTAATGATCACAACATGTTTATTTAATGAGCTGTTATTATTCTATTTTGAATATTAATTTAAACCTGTTTATTTTTTATTCTTTCCTTTCAGGATTAACTTATATTTGGAAATCAAGTGCAATATTAAAAGGAAAGCAAACCTCACTACATTGTTGGAAGCCATTTCTACTAATTATTTTAGATTTTAAAGTTTATGATTTGATTTGAATACTATCATGGGAGGAGCTGTGAGTGCTGGGGAAGATAATGATGACCTAATTGATAACTTAAAAGAAGCTCAGTATATCCGCACTGAAAGAGTGGAGCAAGCCTTCAGAGCGATTGATCGTGGAGATTATTATCTGGAAGGCTACAGAGACAATGCTTATAAAGACTTAGCCTGGAAGCATGGAAACATACACTTGTCAGCACCTTGCATTTATTCTGAAGTTATGGAGGCATTGAAACTTCAACCAGGATTGTCTTTTCTTAACCTGGGAAGTGGAACCGGATATTTAAGTACAATGGTGGGCTTAATTTTAGGTAATTTTATTTTTTGTAAAATTCTATTTTAAAAACTAAGATGATTTTGTATTACTTTATGATTATGGGTTTTGTAATATTGTATAAATATGTTTGGATGTATATATTCAATGTGGTTTTCTTCCTTACATAAGTAGAAATGCAAAGGAGCAGTAATCTTATCTTTGCTAGGTGTGACCCTCATAGTTACTCAGTTCCTACATGTGGACATAACTAGCCTTTAGAACTGTTTTCAGTAATTTTTCCTGCTGCAAGTCAGTTGTCTGTTGTTAAAACTGGGCAGCTGGTGGGCAAGAAACAAAGGAATGTTACATTTAATCTTTTTCTGGTTACATTTTCTGTGCTGACATGTAGGCGTAATGTTGGATAGCTAATGATACCCCCATTTTAAATAGTGAGTGTACTGTTTCCTTTGGACATGATTTGTAAAATGTAGAAGTATGTGGGTGGTGGGGCAAATGGAGGGATTAGAGAAGGACACAGTAGAGGGAAATATATGTTCATCAAACTGTCAATATAGTACTGCGTGTGTACTCTGCCAGGCATTTACCTGACGTGAGTATAGAGAAAAGGACAAAGGGCTTTTTTTGTTTGTTCGTTTGTGTTTGGTCCAGCACCCCCCTTTGAGTTTGTGGGGTATTTATGAAGGCTCAGTAATTGTTTAAATCACTTTACATGTAATAACTAAGTAAGTGTTCCCAATGTACATTATTAAACATTACATAGGCTAGTAAATGGAGATGTGGAGAAGAATTCAGTTGAAGTTAACATACCTACAAAGTGACAGCTTGAAAATATAGGATATGGATACAAAAAGAATGAATGGAGAAAATCTACCATAAGACAGTTACCTTGTTTGGAAGACAAACAGCCAAGAAGTTTACATCTCTCAGTGCCACCAGTGACTTTACCTCACACTGCTTTGTGTCATGTGTGATTGTAGAACCTTAAGGCCCATGTCATTGACTCCTGCCATTGAGTTCACAAATTACTAAACGAAGAAAACCCACCTCTCTCATATATTGTTATAGATGCCCTAGATGAAGTGTATTCCCATGTTTTGGGAATGAAGCTGATACAAAATTCATTCTAAAGTGATGAGGATTTTTAAATAAGGAATGATGATTACCTTCTCTAGAAAATAACTATCCCATTGTGCCCAGATGTTCTAATTCATTACTGTTAGTATTATTGATGCCCTTCTCATTCCCAAAGGTGTACCAATTTGGGTCACCACATTATGTGACTTTAAGGCATTTCCAGGATTGCAGTTCCCTGTTTTTGAATAATACCTAGCTTCTTCATTGTCTGAGTTGTGAAATCTGTAATTGCTTCATTGAAAAAGGAAGGTTGGAACTTTGGTTCCACAACTTTGGTTTCACAACAGTCTTGGATGCATAGTACCAGTAGTGGTGGTCTTTTGGCATAGCAGTTACAATGCTGCAGGAAACACAGAATGCCCAGTTTGCGTCTTGCCTCTGCTCTGATTCAGTTTCATGCCAGGGTGCACCCGTGGAGCCAGTAAAGTGATGGCTTAAGCATTAGAGTCTCTGCCACCCACTTGGGAGACATGGTTTGAGATCCAGGCTCATGGCTTTGGCTTGACCTAGCCCTGGCTGTGCTGGATATTTCCACAGGGAAGTGATAAATGTAAGATATTTTTCTCCATCTTTTTCTCTTTGGCTATCTCTTTCTTTTAATTGAAATGGAAATAAAAAGAAATTGTAGCAAAATACTCATTTTTTCAGTACATAAAATTTAGAAGCTTTTGTTTAAATGTGATGCTCTTTTCCCTTACTGAGACAAACTTTTCGACAGGTTGAAATTTGCAGACATTTCTTATATGCATTACCAGAGTGTCTGAAAAGTCATTCTGAGAGTTTGAGATAGTCTTCAATTTAGAACATATTTTGGGGGTAAATAGGTAGAGCTACTTCTTAAAAAAGAGAGGGTCGCATTTTTGGACATGGACATTTCTTAACTGTAGGGGTGTTAGGATTAGGTTCCATGTCTCATGTCAGGCATGGCCAACCTCCGTACACGTTTATGCTGTTTTTCACTTTTCTAGCACCTGCCAACTGTCTCTGTCTGAGAAGGTCCAGCCAAAGGCAGAGTGGGGTAATGTGTGTCATAATTAACAACCTTGCTAACATCAAGGTAGCATTCCCAGGATTCTTGCCCACTCGCAGTTCTCGAGAGGCAAGAGACCTGTGGCCAGATGCACTTGTAGGAAGGCTTCAAGTCTCACTGTTGTTTGAATACTGTTTATTCAAATTGTGGGCAACATGTGGAGATAGATCCTTGTGTAAATGATCCCCAGTGCCCTCGGTATTTTCCTCATATCAAGGACTCCAAGGAGGCATTTGTCTTTGGTTTATGTGCATGACTATGGCCCCAAATGAATATCTAATGGGAACGAGAACTGTACTGTAGTTTCAGATGTGCAAGATCACACATAGATTTAAGTCCTGGTATAGGACCAGAAGTCACTGTGGTACAACATGCTAAGCTGTCACTTATGGTGCTTGGCACCTCATATGATATTAACACTGCTTCAGGTTTGAGTTGTTCTACTTCCAGTGCAGCTTCTTACCAAAGCAGTGGAAGATGGACCAAGGGCTGCGCCCTTGCACCTGCATGAGAGACAGATGGAGTTTCTGGCTTCAGCCTGGCCCAGCTGTGACCATTTAGGACATTTGGGGAAAGAATCTGCAGATAGAATATTATCTGCTTCCTTTTCTGTCTCTTTGTGACTCTTTCAAATAAATAAATGCATTTTTTTGAATTTTGTGGTACAATTTCAAATAGATTGGGATCCCCCCACAACACCCACCCCCAGACAGAATTTCACCATGTTGCCACAATAGTATAGTCAATACATGCATTTTTAAAAGAGAAATATGCATTTGGCAAGAAAGGTAAAACATTCAGGATGGCAAAAAGAATGGTCCAAAAAACTGATTACAGCTAATTTTGAATCTGCCAGCCTTTCTGGAAGCCTAATCTTCCCGCCACCCTGTGTTTGGTTAGTGTTCTTGTGTGTTGTTATTCAAGGGAAAGAACAGATTTTTGAAAACGGCTTAGGACTCGATCCAAGGAAGGCTGCCTCTGATTTTCTGAGTGCACTGAGTCAGATTGGACGGCACTGCTTCACGGTGACCTTGTCTGCTGAGGCTTTCTTACTTTCACGACTCTCAGCCTTTCTGTCCCGCTTCCATGATGGCAACGGGAGGTGCTTGCTAGTTGGTGGGTCCTGTCCCAGTACATACTGAGAGTTTAATATGGAGGAATCTAGACTGGCAAGGGACCACAGGTAACACAGAGAGGAGAGATGCTCCCTGGACTGTGCCACCTTCCTTTACAGCAGCACGTGGGCTGTAATCCATGAGCTTTTGTTGTTCAGTAAGAAGTTAGGCTTTTCTGTAGGAAATTGTTTTAAGGTTAAGCTACTTTTGAGGAAGTTACTTGTAAATTTAATTTAACCTCATGGAGCATGAATTGTTTTGGTTCCTAAGGTATCTCAGACATCCTTTTAAAATTTATTTATTTATTTTAATTTCTTTTAAAGGTAAAGTGATTGAGATTTTCCATCTGCTTGTTCACTTCTCAGTTTGCTTGCAGCAGCCAGACTGCAGCCGGGAACCAGGAACTCAATGTAAACCTCCTACTTGGGTGGTGGCAGCGTAGGCACTTAAGTCATTGCCTGTTGTTTCCCAGAGTGAGCATTCACAGGAAGCCAGACTCTGTAGTGGAGTTAGACTGGAACCTGGACACTGCAGTGAGCGTCCCTAGTCCTGACTGCTGCAGCAAGAACCCATCTCAAAACATCCTGAATTTCAAATTGAAAATATTGTGTTCACCTTTTTTCATAGTTAATCTTCTTCTTAATGGATTCATTTTTCAGTTAATATTGTGTTCTTATTCTTAGGTAACTTTTTTGCAAAAGAGTGTGGGAAAAAAGTGATGTTCCAAAATCTGTACCTTACAAAATGGAATTAAATGTTTGATAATCTCTTTCAGATTCAAGTACATATGATTCTTTTCATTTGCTGTTGTTGCTTAAGTTATGGATTCATTCTCATTTTGTTAAATAACATGTAAAACGAACAGGCTTCTAAAGATCATGGTGATGTAGCACGTTTTACTACTGTTTGGTTTGCCTGCATCCCGGATTAGAGCATTGGTTCTCTGGCTACTCTGCTTTTGTTCCAACTCCCTCCCAGTGCATGTGAGAATCAGTAGATCATGGCTCAAGTGCATGTGGGAGAGCAGCACAGAGTTCCTGGCTCCTAGCTTTGACCTGGTCCAACCCTGGTTGCTGTAGGCATTTGTGTGAGCCAGCTGATGCAAGCTTGAATACTCTGTCACTCTACTTTTGAAGTAAAATACATAAATAAATCCTAAGAAAAACAGGCTCCTTTTAAAACCAAGAATGTGTCGCTTCATTCACTTTATGACTCTTGGTCTCTTAGCTAATTCCTAGATAGGAGTCACTCTAAGGAGACTGGCAGTGTCATTGTAGCACTGTGGGTGCTGATGTTTTGGCACTAAGCCTTCTGTCCTACGGATGAAGCAGTTTTCATGTCAGAAGCTTATTAGAAATATCCAAGGATACCTACAGCTATTGTATTTTCCAAGGGGACTGATCAGTTAAACTTCAGTACTTTAGAAACTTAATAAAAGTTATTTGGAAGGATGTTTATTATGATACAATTTTTTTGAGATCTGTGCATATGGTCTTTAAAACATTCATGAAAGTAAATTTTATCTCTTACCTTTATTTTTTTTTAAGATTTATTTATTTTTATTGCAAAGTCAGGTATATACAGAGAGGAGAAGAGACAGAGAGAAATATCTTCTGTTCGATGATTCATTCTACAAGTGACCGCAATGGCCCGTGCTGTGCCAGTCCGAAGCCAGGAGCCCAGATCCTCTTCCCAGTCTCCCACGCAGGTGTAGGGTCCCAAGGCTTTGGGCTGTCCTCGACTGCTTTCCCAGGC